GGATCAGATCATGGTAAGAGACAGGCAATCAGGTGTTTATTACTGGGACCAGTCATAGGGAGACTGAGACTTAGGAGATAAAAATCCAGTCCCTGTGTTGAGAGTGCTAGGAGCAGACCCTGGGAAATAAGAAGTCACTGAAGAAGAGAGCAAGAAACTAAAATGCCGAGGTCACAGCAAGACTTAGGTAAAAGAGTCATAAGGAGAGAGTCCAGACAAATCATTATTATGTATGTGTGTCTATTATAATGATAAGATAGATAATAGGCATTCTAGATGACCATTTCTAGCTGTAAAAGCTAAATCAAAATCCGGAAGTTAGTAGATTTGCACTTAAAATCTTCATATATGGTGCTATGGTGCGAGCAAGAAGGAGAAGGAATGAAATCTGAAACATAGCACAGTTTAATTATACTTTATTTTTAAAGGTACAGGCAAATAGTACTAGTGAGTCTACCAAGAACAAACACTTAATCAATGAAACAAATAACACATAAATTTCAATTAAATGGGGTACAACACAATATGTATACTGTATAGTATTGTAAAATACTTAAGATCCTGCTCACATCAAAGTTCATGATTTTGGTGCTCGAAAGTTTTTTTAAAAAGCTATTCATATATACGATCTGTAGAAATACAAATTTCTTTGTTCTTATTTACAAATTACTATATTATTACTAAATTAGTTATTTTCTGAATTCTAATTCATTTCTTGGTAGAAAACACCTAATTATATACAACCTAGCAATTTGTGCAAATGATGCATAAATCACAGTTTTATCACATATAATTAAACTGTATCTTTTTAAAGCACTTGGGTAGGTACTATTGCATTATGAATTAAAAGATTACGGTATCAAGTTCACATGCATTGGTGACAGTCACAACAATCTGGCATCAGGTCTGTCCAGCCAATGAGACACTGGCTGCTCTGTGGCCCTTCTTTACGAGCCTCCAGTCTTTGTGTCAGTCACTTGAGGCAGTATGTGTAGTAAAGCTCAGACTTGAAAATGCAGTTTCAAAGTCCAGCTGCTGATCTTGCTAGCTGTGGTCTTTGAGTAAATTTCTTAACCACTGTGTGCCTCATATTTTTCACTTGTAAAATGATAATAAGAATATCCATTTGTTATGAAGACTAAGCTATTTTTTGTACTAGGGATCAAACACTGAGCCTTGCATGTGCTAGGCAAGTGTTCTAGCACTGAGCTATATGCCCAGGCCTTTGTTAAAATTTATTTTGAGAAAATGTCTCATTAAATTGCCCAGGCTAGCCTTGGCCTTGCAATCCTTCTGCCTCAGCCTTCTAAGTAACTAGGATTATAGGCACATGCTTGGCTACGTCTTTAGCCCAAAAGAAGAACTTGGTGAACGCCAGCGATCTATAGACATTACCCTTTCTCTCTTGCTTTTAGAGGAAAGACCCCACCCATTCCACCCTACAAGAATACACACACTCCACAGAGGCCTCTTCCTTCCCCCTCTTAGTTTCCTTCTTATGTCACCCGCTGGTGAGGATGCTGGTGGCAGGGCTGGTTCTGGCAGGCCCAGCTTGCTCTGTGAGCTGGCAGCCAACCTTGTTCCTGGCTTACTCTTTGAGTGAAGAATATGGGGTACTATCTATAGAAGGGGAAAAAAATTTGCCAGCTATTTTTCAAACCTAGCATTAATATATAGAATATATAAAGAACTAATAAAATTAGACCACTCAAAATAAAAGACCCAGTTAAAAAAATGGACAACCAAAGTGAATACATACTTCTCAGAAGAAGAAGTACAAGTGGCCAATAAATACACACACAAAAAGTTCAACATCTCTGGCTATTAGAGAAATGCAAATTTAATCAACACTGAAATTCCATCTTACTGCAGAGAGAATGACTATCATGAAGAAATTAAATAACGACGACAAATGCTGGAGAGGCTGCAGGGTAAAAAGAACTCTTCTATATTATTGGTGGGAATGTAAGCTAGTACAACTACTATGGAAATCAGTATGGAGATTCTTCAAAAGACTAAAATTAGAAATTCCATTTGACTCAGCAATTCTTCTAGGTATCTTCCTGAAAAAGTTAAAGTCATCATAGTACAGTGAAACATGTATGTACATATTTATAGCAGCAAAGTTCAAAATAGCTAAATCTTGGAAGAGGTCTATATGTCCATCAGCAGATGAATGGATAAAGAAAGTATGGTATTTATCCACAATGGAGTACTATTCTGTCATAAATAAGGATAAACGTGAGTCATAGGAAGATGGATGCACTTTGAGACCATAATATTAAGTGAAACAAATAAGTAACATAAGCTTAAATAATGCATAGTTTCTCTTGTAATACAAATAAAGAGCAAATTAAAAGACAGATAATAGGAAGTCAGGAGATAGACCTTTATCAAATGAAAAGAGGTTCAAGAGATGGAGGGAGGGAAGTGGGAGGAGGAAGGGGAAGGGGATGAAAAGAGAATTGAGATGTGTACATGTATCAACTCCCCACAAGGAAGGTAATGATTGCGTACTGCAAACATGTACTAATAAAAACTAAAAACAACAACAACAACAACAAGAATGTACTTAGTGTCTGCCTTCATTTGTAGCTTTGAGACTCACCTATCATTCTAGGATAACAGAAAAGTCCCTCTTGGCAGGCTGGCATGTCACTCTGTGATGCTTACACTAATTCAGCCTTCCAACATGGCTTGCTTTCTGCACAGAGAAACCATTCACATTCCCAGTTTAATGCAGTGTTTGTCCAAAGAGAGCAGGAAGACTTGGCTTCTCTCTAGTATTTGGAAGTATCCAAGCACCCTTGCTTTTTTTAAGCTCACATAAACACAGAGCTCTCTAATCTTGCCTTTCTCCTACCTCTTCTCCAGGGGATTGAGTGGGTCAAAACATTTTGAAAAATCAATTTTAAACTCTACATTGGCCAAACTTTCCACTATCTCAGTTTAAGTCACATTTCCCAAGATATGCTCCTTAACTTGTTTGCTCAGTTATAAACTGTTGAACTAGTGGTGTTTTCTTGCCTTTTATTTTTTATGTGTGGTTATTTGTTAAGGTTTTTCTCCCATAATTTTTTTTCCCATTGAAACCCTTCCTCTGGTTATGTTTGACATTTTCTTCTTGGGAGAAGGAAATTTTTTAAAACAAATAAACAGCATAAAATAAAAACAAATAGAAAACGTTGGCAGAATTTCCTATATTCATAAAGTTTTCCAGAGGCAAATGTTATAGCTGATTATTTCCATATTTGCCTGGAGAATAGTTTGAGCCTTGCGAGTTTTTGCCACTCAGGTGTTTGGTAGAAGATTAAATGTAAATGAGGAACTCCTTTCCTAACTGGCTTGAAATGTGCTTATTTTAATGCAAGTGTTGTACAATACACCTGACCATAAGATGTAAGCTTTTTAATACATGAGCTAACTTTAGGTAATCATTTCCCCATTGTTTTTCTTCTTATTTAATCACAAAACAGGATCCCTTTTAAAATCTAGCATGTGTGTAAAATATATGTGCATCTGAATCTTGAAAACAGTACATACACAAATAAAGCCTAAATCATTACAAAGATGAACCTCTTACTAAAGCAGTAGTGTACTATTGCCCTCAGCCTCGTGAGGGATTTATAAAGTGACTAAAGTTTTTTCTTTATTTTTTTCTCTTCAGATTCTTATTGCTCTTACTTAATATGCAGTTTATTTTAGCTGTAACAAAAAAGTTGCGGACAATTCCTCATCAAAAACAATCAACTCGATGAAAGAACTTAAAAATATGTTAAACGACTGGAATGATTCAATCAGGAAGAAAACATTTTTATTTATTCATTTTTAGAAAACATTTTTAAAAGAGAAAATTACTAAAGTGACTAGAGTAAAATGTGAAAGTTAGTTGTTGAAATATTTTTACTCGGAAGTCTGTGACTATTCTTGAGACTATCTTTTTGTAATGGCCACTGCTTCAGTCACTCTACAATATAGTTTCCTGAGCATCTAAATAATTCTTAACTATATTCTCTAAGTCTGTACAGATCAGTCTAGGTGAGATCCAATGGACACTAATTTACCCCCTCCTTGAGTGGCTTAAGAAATAAATATTATATTTTGCTCAAAAATCGCTACCTATCTTATGTCACTGGTAAAAGGAATGCCGCAGCAAAGAAGAATGCAAGGATGAAAAGGGTAGCAGGAGCTTGCAGCTTTTAGCTAAAACATCTAAGAATGTGTGGACAGCTAGAAATTTCAGTAAGAAAAGATAAATTACAAATATAAAGAAACAAAGATAGTAATTTCAGTGAGGACACAGGCTTATGAAGACACAGGCTTATAATCCCAGTACTCAAGAGGCTGAGGCAGGAGGATTGATCCAAATTCAAGGCCAGCTTGGGCTCCACAGCGAGTTTAAAGGCAGCCTGAGCTACACAGTAAACCCTGCCTCAAAAGAAAAGAAAAGAAATTTCAATGAGTGAGAAATATCATTTTTCTGGTGAGATTGAGAGGTTATAAGAACTAACAAGATTAGGATATGGGGTTTATTTCCAGATGTTCAGATCATTTATAAGTCTTTAAATCAAGATAATCAATATTAACTTATTGGTTTGGTGTTATATTTCTACTTTCATTTTTAGCTTTGTAGTAGAGATAAGTTCCTCTGTGCTGACCAATAAAATCATAAGTTCCCCTTACACTGTAATTAGTCTAATACATATAATTTATTTTTAAATTGTTTCCCACAAAATCATAAATAAGAAAATGATCCCTATTTCGCTCTTGTTTCCCCCTGTGATCATATCAAGGAATCAGATGATAATTACATTCTAGAGACAAAAAAAGAGAGACTTTCCTACTGTTCTTTGGAAGATGTACAAGACAAAATTTTAGAAAGTGGATTATCTATACTATGTGTTTATCTGTCTCCATTGGTATTGAGTAATGTTATTTCGAGGCTCCTTTTAAAACAAAAGGTACATGACAAATGTTACAGTACCTTGTTTTGTGAACAGATTGTTCAGAGATTTTCAATGATGGCTATAAGCACAGTGGATTTTACAAGATCAAACCTCTCCAGAGCCCAGCAGAATTCTCTGTGTATTGTGACATGTCTGATGGAGGAGGCTGGACTGTAATTCAGAGACGAACGGATGGCAGTGAAAACTTTAACAGGTGTGTTAATTACAACAAGGATTTATCTGGGGCAGCAAATGTGAGATTTATGAAATCTATGTTAAGCCTTTAAAAAAATCATACCTGAAGTTTATTAACTATAACTGCATTCTCTCTTAGTAAGAATACTAAGAATGAATTAACTAATCAAGAAAATATTGGGGGGGTGGTTTGCAGAGGGTACTTTGGGTGCTGCAGAGGTCCCTTTGGATTTTGATAAAAATTAGCTTTTATTTTACATTTTTAGAGGCTGGAATGACTATGAAAACGGCTTTGGAAATTTTGTCCAAAAAAATGGTGAATATTGGCTGGGCAATAAAAACCTTCACCTATTGACTATACAAGGTAAAATTTGCTTGATGTCAGTTTGAAATACAAGAGAAACAACACTAAAATATTTGCCACTAAGTCATAGGCAATGGAACTAATTCAATAACTACTATGATTTGCAGATAGTAATGATACTTGCTGGGCAATAATCTCCTTTGCAAAATGTAGCTACTTAAAATTAGGAAGAGAAACTAGAAAAAGGTTGGGAGGGGATTGTTTTCTCATGTATATTTTCTATTTCTAGAAAGGAAATGTAATGTCATAATCATTTTAATGCCTGAGGTGCCTGAAAATTATATGTCAGTTATCCATTGGCACAGTAACGTTGAGTAACAAACCACTTAAAAACTTCATGTCTTCAAAGCCACCATTTATTATTTCTCATAAATCTACAGGTTAGCAGATGGTCTGGCTGATCAGGACTGGGGTCTGCTGATCTTGGTACACATGCCTATGGATCTGCAATGCCCTGGTTAGCGGGAGGCTGGTAGTTCCAGGATGGCCTCGGAGAGAAACACTCAGGTGTCTCATCTTCCAGCTAGCCAGCCTGGACTTGTCCTTGAAGCAGGTCAGGGTTCCAGGGAAGAAGGTGGAAGCACATACAACTCTTGAGACTTAGGCGCTGAACTGGTACACTGTCATTTTCCTTCAGTCAGTGAAAGCAAGTCACAAGACTAACTAGATAAAAGGTGGGAAAGAAGTAGACAATAGGAGAGGTGAAAAACTAGGGAATTGGAGCTGTTTTTGCAGTCAAAAATCATAATATACTAAATGGCCGTGTTTCTACACCCTGCACCATTTTTTATTTTGAAAATTCTTTGAAGACATAGCAAGGCTGAAAGAAATCTCAGCCTATGACCTTTCCTATATTAACATTTTATTATGCTTATTTTATCACATATTTAATCCATCTATCTATCCCTCTATCCACCCATAAATTTGTCTTTTTAGAAATATACGTTTCAGGGCTGGGGATTTAGTTCAGTGGTTCCACCACCTGACTCCCAAGTGCAAGGACCTGAGTTCAATCCCCAGCACCAAAAAAAAGAAATATACATTTCAAAGTAAATTACAGACTTCTGAATAGTTCTCCCCTTATGCATTCACATGCACATCTTTTTAAAAATTGCCGTTCACTTATTTTGAACTCATAAAATTAAGCTTTCCATTATTAAAAGAAATGTACTAATGTGACAATAACATTTTTTTTCAATTAGTACATATTACTTTTATTGAGCAATGGGTTTTGTTTTGGTATGTTCATACATGCGTTTAACATACTTTTCACATGTATATTTCTAACTAGAGCTTGGTATTTGTATAAAATATTGATAAAAAATTTTCCAATGTCCTATATCCCATGTTTTGTTGCTATCCACAGCCTTCTTTACTTTAGCTGTAGTCTGAAATTATACTCAACCCCTCTGAGGTTTGATGTCAAATGTTTCATAAAAGGTAATTGTATTGCCCAAGAAAACATGTTAAATCATGCTAGCAATGTATTAAATATGAGACCAAGAATTTTTTGTTCCATCCGAACTTAGGAAAGCTATTGATCTTTCTATATTCATAATAGTCAGTAGGGTTATAATAATAAAGGTCTTTGAGACATGAGAATATTGGCTACAGAGGATGGATACTTCTGAAAGCCTAATACTTTTCTTTGTTTTTCTTGTGATCAGTGCTGTCTAACTTTACATAAGGTATCTTGTCCTTCAACATATTTTTTGTCTTAAGTGGGTTTATTTTTTGCCAGATACATAATATTTGCCATACACCTTCTGTTTCTTTTGTACATTAAATTTATCTGGTGCTTCAAAAAACAAACAAACAAACAACCAATGATAAAAACCCCAAGGAGTAACACTTGGAGCCTCTTAAGTACATGAAATTCAAGCTTCTTTTCCAAAGTATTGCCATGTACAGTTTTGTCTACATGGACTTTGCCAACAAGTCTGCCTCCATTTCACGTCCATTTGGTTCCAGGGATTGAGGGCCTTGTGCATGCTAAGCACATGCTCTTACACTGAGCTATATCCCAGGCCTTCCTTTCGTGGTTTGATTTAGTGTTCAGGCTAGTTATTCTTACAGTACTAAAATTTTGTTTATCAGTTCTAGGCCTCACAACTATGTATCATATCCCCCCGAAAAAAAGACAATGCTTTTGTCCCTGTATTCTTTAATTATGAGACCACTTAAGGTCAGTGAAATTGCCTCTGAAAATAATTTTATCCACAGTACATAAATTTTGACTGCTTACAATAAAATTAATTTAGAAATGGTCTGTAATTGCAAGTTTATTAATTCAATGACCAAAGAGATATTTAGATAATTACCTTAAAAACTGAAACTGATCTTATGTCTCTCCTATAATACAAGGTATTTTTGGGACAGTGATTAGCCTTCTGTACTGATCCCAAACACTTCTCAGTCTTGGCTCCCCTGACTGTTACTGCCTTTAGAAAATAAAGAGATTCCCCACCAACACCCCTTCTTAAATTTGCTCCATAGTAAAAATCTAGACTCCCTAGCTCCAACAGCCTTGTGCTTGTTTTCCGAACACATTCAGGCCTCTTTTGGTCTATCCGCCTGGGCTGCCGATGTGAAAACTCCTGAGCCGAGCTGGAGGGGAGGCTAAGGCACATTTTTCATCATGAGCATAGAAAGAGCTAGAAGTGTAGCCTCAATGTCATAGGTGTGTCCAAGGTGTGTCCCTTGCTGTGCATGGTGGAGACTAGGATGGGACAAGAGAAGCCAACCCTAGGCTGGGGCCTCTCTTTGGAGTCTCCCTGATCAGGCTTAGAACTCTAAAGAGATGTAAACAACATGGTCTTACAGGTCATTGTGGTGTTTTATTAATCAAAATAGGATAGAACACATGTCAGTGAATAGTTGGTTTGATTTCTAACTTTCTCTGCTCTTGACAATAGTTTTGCTATTGAAAAAGAGTCTTAATTATTCACAAACAATGGGACAATAGGAAACAGATAATTCCTTGGAAGAACAACTATTTCAATCACTTTTTTCAGATAATGCCTTTTTATCATCTAAAATTTTATGGTCATCAAAGTACCTCTTTTATTTGATATTTTGAGATTTGTTTCTATCATATGTAATTTTTAGCATGTATAAATAATACATTCCAAATAAATTGTTTATTTTAAAAATGCTTTTACATTCAGATATCAACCCTTCAAAAATACCTATTGTCTCAAAGTCATTGATATTAGTGTATTTTCCAATAATTATGACCATTTGTGCATCAAGAATGCTGGGAATCCAGAATTCTTGAGAATGTTCCTCTACTGTCTCTGATATTCCCTTCCAATGGCATCCACTCCATAGACTTTGATGCTAACATTTTCTTAAATGAGCCAATATCAAAGAAAATTTTCACATAACACCCAAGATTCGTATTTCTTCCCCAAATGGTCCTCAAAGGGTTTGCTGGCTAATCTTTTATATTATCAGAAAAAATAAACAAGCTTATAGATATTTAGGCAACAATGGCTATGAGTAGCCTGGCTAATAGAGATTATAAAGTGTTATTAATAGCAATTATTTATTTTTAGGATCAAGATTCTTATTTTTTTCACTGAATTATGGGTGTTTAATTCATTGCTCTCTTATATTTTCATGTTACTGTAGCTTTATCACAATGTAACCCCATCAGAAATTGAGCAGTTTTTGTATTCAAGAACGCTGTATAAAAATTTTTACAAAATATTTCGTTGTTAAAATGAAAGACAAAATACAGGTCAAGGAGACCAACTGGGCCTCATGCTCACAGCTTTGCTAAATCTATGTATTTTAAAGCATTTTTCACATACCTTGAACATCAGACAATGGTCCTTATGGGAAATGAAAAGGACATTGTACAAATTTATCTATAAAATTTATCTGTAAAATATCTCTAGAGCACAATATGAATTATAAATTGGTAAATTTCCTCTTTTTCCTATACTGGCTGTTTCTTTTCCTTCATGCCATTATTTCATCTCCTTAGGTAAAAGTCATAATAATTACCAAAGACAATGTCAGTCCCAGCATCAGGGACTAGAATAAAGACATTTGCATTTGGCTCATTATTGCCATAAAATAATTCTTCCCAAAACAATTCCATTGTTGACAAAAATTCCTTTGAAAATGTTACTGATAAATCATACCATCATTTATACTTTTTGGAGAGATTTATTATTTTTTTAAAAATTCTTTTATTGGTACATTTTATGTATACAACACATTTACATTTCTCATTGGGAATTGTACCTTTACATGCTGCATCTTGGTTCTTATTTTTTCCCCATTCCCAGCCCTCCCTTCACCCCCTCCACCCTTCCCTATTTACAAAGACTTTGTTTCCATTTTTTTCCATTTTTCATAATTTTTCCTTTTCCTTCTTTCCTTTCCCCTGCCCCTCCCACTATCCCTACCCCTTTGGACCTTTTCTTCCTATTTCACATTATCAATTATTCATTCTAATCATTGGTATATTTTAGGTATACAATATAATGACATTCATCATTGGAAATTTCCACCTTTACATAATCTCTCTAGGTTCTTATTTTTCCCCCTTCCCCTGCCCTCCCTTCAACTCCTCCATTCCTCCCTATTTACAAAGACTTTGTTTCCATTTTTCCATATTAATTCCATTCCCTTCTTTCCTTTCCCCTACCCCTCTCACTTCCCCTTCCACTTCGCCCCTTTTCTTCCTATGTCACATTATCTATTATACCTTTTAGTCCTTATTTACACTTTCAGTTTCTCACACTAGAGAAACTATTCAGTATTTATACATGTGTGTCCTATTTCTTCCACTTTAGAGTATTGCCTCAATGTTCATCCATTTAGCTATAAATGTCTCTAATTTCTCATTTTTTATGACTGAGTAGCACTCCATTTTATTAAAAAAACACATTTTTCTTTATCAAGTCTCCAGTTGATGGGCATTTGGGCTGTTTCCAAGTTTTAGCTAGTACAAATTGTGTTGCTATGAACATGGGTCCACATATAACACTGTGGTATGAGTCTTTTAATTCTTTGGGGAAGATACCCAGAAGGGGAATAGCTGGATCAAATGGGACTTCCAGTCCTAGTTCTTTTAGTTATCTCCATATTGATTTCCACAGTGGTTGCACCAGTCTACACTCCCACCAGCAATGGAGTAGGATTCCTCTTTCCCCACAGCCCCACCAGCATTTGTTATTGGTTGATTTCATGATAGCAGCCATTCTTTCTGGAGTGAGGTGGAATCTCAGCGTTGTTTTCATTTGCATCGGATAGATTTATTATTACAATTCATGACATCCCTTTGGAGAAAATATGGTCCTGCTGACCTGTGACAATCAGAAACTCACAGCAGTATGGGTTATTTTTTGGTGCACGTGGTGGAAAATTTACTACAAAATTAAAAGTCATGATAATATAAGCATGAAAACTAAATTTTTGATGGTAAGAAAAAATTTTATGTAAATGGTAATACTACATTGACTAACATGAAAGCAAAAGACAAAATTATGTAATTGATGTAATTATAATTACATTGGGATATATGCAGGTATTTTGTCAGGATATGAAAAAATACAACATTTCCTAATCTACAAGTTGTGTGAAAGCAATTGAAATTTGTCAACCCATGTTCACAAGTCTCTAAATATATATGTCATCAAATTCTTACATAGTTACATTTCTTACATAGAGAGTTACTCCCCAGTGTGAGTTGTTTTGACTATAAAGAGCTTGCAGATTTTTTCCCACACTGTCTACATAGGGTTTGTCCCCAGTGTGCCTTTTTTCATGTATTTGACAACACTTGTGTGTACTGAACGTGTTCCCACATTGCTTACATACATATGGTTTCTCCCCAGTGTGCCTTCTTTCCTTTATTTTACAATAACTGTGTGTATTGAAAACTTTCTCACATTTCTTACATACATAGGGTATCTCCCCAGTGTGACTTCTTTCATGTATTTTACAATAACCATGTACATAAAGATTTCTCACATACATAGGGCATCTCCCTATTATTACTACTTTCATGTAATTTATAATAACTGTGTTCAGTGAATGCTTCCCCACATTGTTTACATACATAGGGTTTTTCCCCCATGTGACTTCTTTCATGTATTTTATAACAACTCTGTGTAGTGAATGCTTTCCCACACTGCTTACATATATAAGGTTTCTCCACACTGTGATTTCTTTCATGTATTTTTTTTTTGGTACCAGGGATTGAACTCAGGATCTTGCACTTTTGAGGCTGGTGGCAGAGTCACTGAGCTAAATCCCTAACCCTCTTTCATGTATTTTATAAACACCTCTGTGTACTGCATGCTTCCCCACATTGCTTGCACACCTAAGGTTTCTCCACAGTGTGATTTCTTTCATGTATTTGACAATAACTGTGTGTAGTAAATGCTTTCCCCCATTGTTTACATACATAGGGTTTCTCTCCAGTGTGAATACTTTTGTGTCTCTGACGGTGACTGTGTGTGCTGAATCCTTTCCCATATTGCTTATAGACATAGGGTTTCTCACCAGTGTGGGATCTCCTATGTCTATGAAATGTGGACTTACTGGCAAATCCTTTTCCACATTGCTTACATACATAGGATGTCTCACCTCTGTGAGTTCTTTCATGTATTTTATACCAACTCTGTGTACTGAATGCTTTCTCACATTGCTTGTACACAAGGTCTCTCCCCACAGTGATTTTTTTCATGTATTTGGCAATAACTGTGTAGTGAATGCTTTCCCACATCATTTATATATATAAGGTTTCTCCTTAGTATGAATTATTTCATGTCTTTGACAATGACTGTGTCTGGGTTTCTCTCCAGTGTGAGTTATTTCATGTACTTCGCAATATTTGTGTGTAGTAAATGCTTTCCCACATAGTTTACGTACAAAGGGTTTCTCACCAATATGATTTCTTTCATGTATTTTATAACAACTCCATGTAGTGAATGTTTTTCCACATTGCTTATGTACATAGGGTTTCTCCCCCACATGATTTCTTTCATGTATTTTACAATAACTCTGTGTAGTGAATGTTTTCCCACATTGCTTATATACATAAGGTTTCTCCTCAGTGTGAACTCTTTTACCTTTGTGAAAGGGATTACTATGAGCTAATGTTTTCACACATTCCTTAGATACATAGGGATTCTCTCCAGCATGTCTTCTTTCATGCACTTGATATGGTATGAAGCAATGAAAGTTTTCCCACATTGTTTGCATACATATGGATTTTCCCCTCTGTGATTACTTTCATGGATTTGAACACCACTGGAGGTGCTGGAGGTTTTTACACTTTTCTTACCTACGGAGGTTTTCTCTCCAAGGTGAGTTCTTCTGCTACAATCAGAATAGACTTTCTCACATTGCTCATATTGACAGGGATTCTCTCCAGTCTTTGTCCTTGCATGCTTCTGAAAGGACTGGAGATCACTGCAGGTTTTTCCATGTTCATTACATTTATACAGCTTCTCCTCAAATCCCAAATACCCATCAGGCTTGAGTGCAGTGTGAGCTATGATGGGCACATTTAGGGATAAATGCCCAATCAGAGGGTTTCTACTAGCAAAGCTTACAGCTGGTTTTAAAGCAACTTGCTGCATGTTCACATTAGCATCTGGAGTCCAAAAAAGTATTTCTTCATGTTGATTCCAAGCTTTATATTGATAGCATTTTCTCTACCTCTTCATTTCTACAGCAGTCATGTTCATAAATGTTTCCCACATCATAACTCTGTAGAGTTCCTTTTGGGATGGATTTAGCAAAGCCCATTCCTCCATGGTGAAGTTTACAGCTATATCCTCTAAGGTCACTGCAGCCATTGCGTGTCTTGAGAGTCCCCCAGGATCCTTCAGATGCAGCCCACAGCCAGTAGAAGTACAGAAAAAGGTGGTCTTGTCAACTGGGGGCTCTCAGCAGTGCACTTGTGTGTATTCTGGCTCCATGACAGCCAAGATTCTTATTTAAATTAAGAAAATAGATAAATTGTTAAATTTTAAAACTTCTATCCTTTCATTATGAGACTTGTGACATTTTCTGTTGTTCATTACCAAATGAATAATACCAGTTTTTAATCTATGATAGATTTAGTAGAAATTTTCTGCCTTTCCTATTGTGTCTTTCACATTTTTCAAGTAAAACAAACAAGAAGGGATTCAGGTGTTAAGTACAGTGGAGGCACTGTTTATTCTTCAAAGACTGATTCTTAGCCGGGGATGGTGGTGCATGCCTATAATCCTAGCACTCGGGAGGCTGAGGCAGAAGGATTGCTGTGAGTACAAAGCCAGCCTAGGCTACATAGCCAGACCCTGTCTCAAAAACAAAAACAAAAACCAAACAAACAATAACAGACTGATTCTTGACAGAAGGAAGTGTTAAAAGTCAAATAGAGCTATAAATTATTGTTAAAACTCAGTAGTGGATGTCATGTCACACATTTTAAAAAACTACAATCTTGTTTTTTTCAGGAGACTACACTTTAAAAATTGACCTTGAAGATTTTGAAAAGAATAGCCGTTATGCACAATATAAACGTTTCAAAGTTGGAAGTGAAAAGGTACAAAATTTCCAAATAAGTAACATCATAAATTAATACTTAAAACATACAATATAACACTGAAGTCAATAGAGATAAAAACATGTGATAGAAGCTATTCCTTTATTTACTAAATAAACATGTTTTTTAAATGGTGGCTACTGATAGTGGAACTTGCCTCTTTTCCTTTAGAATTTCTATGTGTTGAATATTGGAGAATATTCTGGAACTGCTGGAGACTCCCTCTCAGGGAGTTTTCACCCAGAGGTGCAGTGGTGGGCCAGTCATCAAAGGATGAAGTTTAGCACATGGGACAGAGACAACGATAACTACCAAGGGAACTGTGCCGAGGAAGATCAGGCTGGCTGGTGGTTTAACAGGTCTGATGCTTTGTAAACATCGTGGTAGTGGTGTTGATAATATCTCGCTGGTAGGCATAATTATAATGTATGAGGTCATGTTGATCTTACTGAAATAGTAGCATTATTAAGTAATTATCCTTATTAGGATTCTTTAGCAATGGAGTATTTTTCATTGTGCACATTAGTGACATTTGAAAGGTATGTCATAGAAATAAATCAAATTACTACTTTTTAAAAACTGTTTGCAAACTGAGTCATGGAAGAGTTATAAATATAAGTATTTGGCATTGTAATAATCAATTAGTGCTTCACTTGCTCATATAATGCAAAATTGCCATTGTTATTGCTGTATTTTCCTATGTGGTACAGTACAGAACTACTTTTCAATCACTGTGTCTTTCATTAGTTCATTGAATCCAAGCTCTCCTAATGGAGAATTTTTTTTCTATAATATCCCCAAAAGCCAATCCCACCCTCTGATTCTGTGTTACTTTATCAGCAAGATCATTCTATTTTTAATTGTCCAAAGTTCTTCCTTTTATGGACCTGAAATCTACCTTATACCTTGTCAGGTTTTTCCTCTGTAGCTAGAGACTAATTGTAATCCTTTTCCAACACAATTCTTCAGGCCCTGAAAGAAAAGTGATTTATTGCATTCCTTAGTATTTTCTCTTCTTTGGGCCAAATATTCCTGATTCCTTTAACTGTTCTCTATCTGAGATGGTTTCCAGATAGCTTCGTTTGTTGTGATCACAAATTTAAGGAAGGAATGGAAACTTTTTGCAGAGTTTTTCCTAGAAATGACCCAATGGGCCTGCTCTCTGCAAAGCAGATGTCCTCCAACCAATGGGCAATGCATGAACTTTCAAAGTCTTTTCTTATTAGAATGCAAGAGCCACCTCAAAAATCACTGGACATTTAAATTTTCCATTATAAGATCTTCAGTATTTTTTAGTGTCAGGTTTTCCATATACTTGAGGATTATCCATTTAAATTCCACAATTCAAACTTTAACTCTTTCTCTTAATGTATTGTTTAAGCATTTTAGAACCCTCTATCCTACTGAATGAAGGTAAATCAGACATATGTTAATTTTCCTTAAAATCACAAAAGTCCTCATTCTAACATCAGTTATTGGGATGTGCTGATTTTAAAGTGGTAGATCTAGTACAGATATGAGTTGAAGGTAGTATGGCACATTATGGAAGTTAACATTATTGAAAATTTACATAAAATTCACAAAGTCATCTGCAAGCATCAATAGTGTTTGATTTTAGCCACACATGGTGTCTCAAAAGTAAAATACAAGTAAACAAAAAATAATAATGTTTGATTTTGCCAGCCATGATGGCACACACTAATCCCAGCCACTCAGGAGGCTGAGGCAGCAGGACGCCTGTTTCAAAATAGGCCAGGGATTTAACTCAGTGGTTCTGCCGCCTGCCTTGAAAGCACAAGGTCCCGAGTTCAATCCCCAGTACAAAAATAAATAAATAAATAAATCCTGCATTCAAAATAAAAACAAAAAGGCTGAGAATATAGTTTAGTGGTAGAGCACCTTGGAGTCAATCCTTAATCCCACACACAAAAAAGTTTGATTTTGAACAGAATTTCATATACAGAAATAATCACTAATATTACCATGAGATTTAAGGCTTGTACTTTACCCAGTTGGTTGGCTTTTTTTACCCCTTGAATGACAACAAGCACACATTAATGTGGGCAAATAAATTATTTACCTGACTTTAGAGACATAGGTTCAGGGAGAAGAAAGAAGAGCAAATCAGTAGCTGCAGCCACCCAGGTAAAATTAGAGAACTTGGAAAAAAATTAAATTTTTTCAGAATTTAATAGTATTTTCACCATGCAAGGTACTACTGTAGTTTAACTCTACCATTCTTTCTTTTCTCCCTTCCTCCCTGTTGTCCCTGTCCCATAGTTGTTCTAATTTACATGGAATTACCTATGGCCATACTACCCACAACAAGCCCGATCTTGTCTAATTTACATGAAATGTTTGCACTTCATAACTATTCCTCACATTGCAAACCAATCACTGAGCAGTGCTGTCTTCTCTGCCTTGCTGGCATAGAATCTCACATGAGTGCTCACAGCTACTCCTTGACCAAGAAAGCGCTAACCCGACCCTAAGTGTCAAGTCCAGACTGTTCTAGAAACTGGAGGATTCTGGAAAATTGGTCTCAGAATACTATGTGGTTGACCATAGAATAAAGTTCCTAGTAGGCTTTATATTGCAGAGCAAATATAAAAGTTTATATGGTATATGACTCTATATAAAGATATGCCAAAATATTCATTCTGGAGGCTCAATTTACAATGTTTTCTTTTTTTCCAGTACCAGAGATCGAACTCAGCACTTTGTGATTGTGAGGCTGGCACAAGCCACTAAGTTAAATCCCCAGCCCCAATATTTTCTTTTTTAACATTACTTTAATGGTGTTTTTAAAACAGCAGACTTTTGACAATCACGGATTTAGTATCCATGGTTTCAACTAGTCACGCCCATTTAAATTAGGAAGTCTTCCAGAATGGTCAATAAAAACAAATTAAAGCACTAAGTTAAGCGATCCAAGTCAGCCACTCTATGTTAATGGGTAAATTATATGTTTTCTATTCAATAATGTGGGTTCTTTGCATAAATTTTCATATCTATTCCTTATGGATGTTCTCCTTATATCCTAATGACTGACATATTTTCATTGGTTATATCAATATGGTAGTTAATAGCATAATAATGGAACACAAAAAGTTACCACATACTGTTATATGTAATTTACATATACCAGGGACAAATATATAAATTCCAAAGGAGGAAGAGCTTTATTTAAAAATTATATGATAACCTAACAAACTTCTCTAATAAGTGCAATACATGTAAAAAATTAACTGATCAATTCAAATAATTATTGGTTAATGGCTGGGAAATTTTTAAATATTGGCTTAGGTTCTGTCTGCTTACTCTTGAGATGAAAACAATTGATATGCTAGTGATTTAAAGAGGAGGATCAAGGGAGCTTGAACAAGGAAAACCACTTCTTGGCAGCCTATTGATGAACCTGCAAGTGCCAGTTGGCCTGGGAAGCCTCTGTAGAACTGCTTGCCCCTCACCTTGCTTTGTGAACCCAGGCTGCTCTTGCTAAGCATGAGATGAGCACTGTTCTGATGAGGAGGATGTAAAGCTGGAGGCTGCAGGGTCTTTCCCCCCTTACTTCTCTTTTTGGTTTAAAGGCTAATAATAGGAACTGAAATGCTTGTTTTTCAATATGTACACTCCAAGTGGCCTGGGTTGGATCCTTAGATTTATCATGGTGCTAAAATCCATCAGTTTATTTTATTTTTATTTTTTAATTTGAGACAAGGTTTTTCTATGTAGCTAAGTCTGGCCTTGAACTCACTATGTAGCCCAGCCCTGGCCTCAAACTCAGAGAGATCCTCCCAAGTTCTGGGATTACAGGTGTGCACCACCATGCCCATAGACTGACACTTTAAAAACTCAGTCTTACCTTGAGACCATAATGTTAATTGAAATAAAACAGACATACAAGCTTAAGTATTACGTGATTTCTCTAGTATGAGAAAACCAAAATATAGTTAAAGACCAAAATAAAAGATAATAGGAAGTTGGGATAAAGAGACGGAGGGTGACCCCCCCAAAAAAAGAGATGGAGGGTGGGAAGAGAGAGAAGATGGAAAAAGGAATTAAAATGTGTTATATTCATGTACCAACTCCACACAAGGAATTATGTATTGCAAACACGTACTAATGAAAATTTTTAAAACCTGAAAAAGCTAATCTGTTTGTAGAAATGTCTCAGCTTTTGAAAATTAAAAAATACTTCACTTGTCTATGAAATGATAGTAGTCGCAGTTAAAAAGTTTTGATCATTTGCTAGCCAGATATGTTTCTGAAAGGTACTTTTTTCTAGTCTGATTGTTCTACTTTCTTTCTTTCTCCCACTAGGTGTCACTCTGCAAACCTAAATGGCGTCTACTACAGAGGCCCCTACACAGCTGAAAATGACAATGGGGTTATCTGGTACACCTGGCATGGGTGGTGGTATTCTCTGAAATCTGTGGTTATGAAAATTAGGCCAAATGATTTTATTCCAAATATTATTTAATTGTCCCTGCTGGGCTTTTATTTTTGCAATTCATCTTATTTAAAATAATTTGCAAAAGAGCAATTCCGAACATATAAATAATGATGGCAATTATTATGCGTACTACTTTTCATTTTTTTTAACTTCCTTTTATTACTTAGTGCACTTTTGGTACAACAAATATACATTATTTGGCAAATAAATGTAGATTATGTTAATATTTATTGAATTCCTGTGTGCAAAGGGCTATGATAAATTTTATGTCATACCAAAAAATTAAAGCATAGACTATATCCCATGATTTAGGAAACAACACAAGCATAGATGCTTAATAACTTAAGTTTTAATGCAACTGACAAAACACATGACAAAATTTAGCACATAATGGATTGCCAAATCAACTGCATAGACAATAAATATGAGCTGGGCTTCGAACTCAGGTTTTAAGCACAACCCAGGATGTTAATCATTATAAAACAATACTTACATTTTTGGATGTTATGGAGTTTATACATTTCTATCATAGGCTTCATCTAAAATCTTACGCCAGTCCCGGGAGACATTATTATTGGCATTTAACAAAGCTGAAAATTATGGATCTGAGTTTCTGTGACTTCTAAAAGTTACAAAGTTAACAAGAAGGGGAACAAGGGCTTAAATCCAAGGCTCAAGGCTTCTGATGCTAAATTAAATGTTTTGCCTCCATCCTGATGTTCTTCTGGAGAGATCCAGATGAGTAAAAGTCTGAGTCAAGACAAGGTATTCCAAAAAATATTTGTATGCCAAGTATATGTTAGGCCCATACGAGGCTGTTCAAGCCGATACGAAGTTCAGCTACTTGAGAAAGATTACATCATCACAAAAATGTACATAATTTTTAAAGCTGATAAGTTTGAAGTAGAAAATATGTGCCTGGGGAACATAAAACAGTGTGCCTGACCTGGCTGGTGGGGAATGGATTGGAGAAGCTTCTCAATAGGTTTTTGAGCTGAGGCCTTTTAACTAAGTATACTTGAGGAGATTAGGATTAGGATTATATGTAGGATTAGGAAACCCTACATATAATACACAAATACAAAACACACATATAATACACAAAAACCCTACATATAATACAAAAATCAGGAACTACATGGAAAGAAAAGAAGGTTAGATAAGCAATATTATTTAATGACCCTTAAATCCTGAAGCCAAGGATTCTGCCACTTTATAGCTTGTGGCCTTGGGACCTGTTTCATCTATAAAATAGCATGTATCTCACAGAAGTGTGTGGCATGTGATAGGATCTTAAATATTTATTAACTGACTGACTCATTGAAGAAGTAAGTGAAGAAAAGAACAAAATAATGAATAAACATTAGAGTTCTATATGAGTGTTGCTCCATTTGTGGGCTTTCTTTTTAAAATTAATTATTATTTTAAGTGTTGCTCTGGGGATTACATAAGTAAAATAGGATTATTCCTTGCACAAAGTAAGCATTCAAAAATAACTAGTTGTGATTGTTAGTGAAGTAGGCATTAAAAAACAATAATAATTGGGCCAGGGATTTAGCTCAGTGATTCCACTGCCTGCCTTGCAAGCACAAGGTCCCAAGTTTGTTCCCTGGTACAAAAAATAATAATAATAATGATAGATGTCCTTGAAATCATAAGTCACATGATGATGTTAAGATTAGTTGTGCTGGATCCTCTAAAGCAGTAAGTCTTTAACTTTAATGTCATATGAATCACCTGGGGATCTTATTCAAATATAAATTCTGATTCTGGGGTGGACCTATGATTCTGGTTTTCTAACAAGTCTCCAGATGATGCAAAACTTCTCAGTCAAGGAATCACACTTTGAAAAGCAAGGGTGTAGGGTACCATGGTTCTTGGATATTAGTGATTAGTGCAGGAGGAAAAGACCTTGTGGATCAAAAAAATTGAGATGAAATATTAAAATGCAACAGATTTCTTCTGCTGAGAATTGCTCAGATCCTTGAATATGCCACAGAGGAACCATAGTATGTAGCATTTTATATCTAGTTTAGAGTGTGTTCAGCTGCAAGGTTTATATTACTTGATTATGGAAGTCCAAGCGAAGAGGAATTTATTCTTTTTAGGTAGCAAGAACTCAGGAGGTAAGTCGTTGCTGGCTGGGTTTAATGCTCTCCTTTAAAAAGGCTGATGTTTCTGAAACTTTGCCATTCCTTCCAAATCCCAAAACATCCACTGCAGTTCCTGCTCTAAATCCTTCTTTAAAAAAAATAAATGGGATGTGGTGGTGTACACCTGTAATCCCAGCTACTTGGGAGGTTGAGGTGGGATTGCAAGTTCAAAGCCAACCTGGTCAGTTTAGCCAGACCTTGTCTCACAATTAAAAAAATAAAAGGGGCTGAGATGTAGCTCAGCACTCCCCTGGTATAATCCCCATTAACTCCCTCTTCCCCCTAAAAGGGGAGGATCAACAAACTTCAATTTATACCTCATTGGCCAGAATTGTGTCATCTGTTCACATCATCTGGAAGTAAGTCTAGGAAAGAGAACATTCGATTTTATAGACTGCAGAATGCGCAGGTGAGGGAGAAGTGTTTGCCATGGTTCCCAAACGTTTGCTTTGTAATGAAGTTTGTGGGAATTATGTTCTGTAGGATACATTTTGGGAAGTTATAAATAATAGAGCACCAGTGACCATTGTAAATATTGGCATTACTTTTGGTCCTTGCTTTAGTGAAATTAAAACTAAAGTCACCATATGAATTTACAGGCTAAAGCTTTAGCTGAAAGGTAAGAGAAGATAAAGAAAGGACTCCACCCTGAGTAGTAACTGGAGAGGGCACACTGATGAAGAGATCTGACGGGCCTGCCAGCGAGGACTGTGGGCCAGTTTTAGGGGGCGGCAGCGGGCTGGGTTCTGGATGATCATTATCTCAGTCCTGACTTGTAGCTCAGATTGAATCCTCCTAACTTGAGGGGCAATTCAGTTGCCATGAGAGAAATCTTCATGACTTGAGGGGCAATTTCATTCACATGAACCTCTGCCGGAATCTAAGGTGACCACGGGTTTAGGCACAGTGATGGAGAAACTTTTAGAGCGTTTAATGACACCAACAGCCCACTGCGCATGCGTCCCATAGCTTCGCCACGACTGGTTTAGGACAATGGAGATTCTGGATATAGCTAAATATCCCTGTAATCTCTAATCCTGGTGTCCTCATTCTTGAAGGGTACTGAGATAGATTAGGTAAGTTTAAGGCTAGAAAACCTTATTTTGCCAACTTTTGGGCAGACCCCCTGTCTAAATGACTAACATGCTCATATGCAGAGCTGAGAAGGACCTGATCTGGAGTTTTACAAAATGAAGGCCAAGTTTTGTTCAACTTTTAGTTACCTATATGGCATGTATGCCATATGTGTGCCATGTGTGCCAAATGAAGAGTCATAGCTTTTATCAAAAGCCACTTTTTTTTGTTTTTTGTTTTTTTGTACTGGGGATTGAACGCAGGACCTTGCACTTGCAAGGCAGGGACTGGAACCACTGAGCTAAATCCCCAACCCCAAAACCCCCTTTTAAGTCCCTGTCTATCTTAGAAAAATACACAAATTTTTCTCTTAATGAGTAACAGGGTAAGGACCCAGGAGTTTGTCTCTACTGGGGTCTCTAACTATGTCACAACTATGTCACTTGCTCAAGTAGTAGCCTGAAGAACTTATGTAATTAGGAGATCAAAAGAAAAAAAGTTTTTAACAAAACAAAAGATTCCACAGAGGAGAGGAAAGAAAGGGAGCTAAACAAGTATAATGTTACATAAATTTCAATATAATAGCTTTTTGATGCAGAAGGAATAATTAAATGAATTAAAATCCCATAAAAAGATAGAGGGAAAAGAGTTCTCCTGAAAAATTCCTGGATTTAGTGAGAGTGTTATTTGTGTTCTTGAGTCTATTTCAATGGAATGGGAGGTAGCCAGAGGGCAGGAAATAACAGCAGTTTTGAGGGAATAGGTAAGTTATTTGAGGAATCTGTATGTAAAAGAGAAAAACTGGACTAATTTCATCTGAAGTCAACACATCAGAAAGACCCCAGCGAAAATTCATCCATTTCTCTTGAAATGCTACCATTACAGAGTTATTTATTACTCTTTATCACTTTTTAAAATGCAAAATAGGAATGCTGGAAAGAGAATCAACTGGATCACAGACTCTTTGCATTAGAGGTTCCATCTGTCATGTTCAGTTTTAGTTCACAGCAGTGTCTGGCATGTGATAGGATCTCAAATGTTTATTAACCGATTGACTCATTGAAGAAATAAGTAAAGAAATGAACAAAATAATAAATATGCATCATAGAGTCCTATATGAGTGTTACTCTGTGGTTGCTCTCTTTTTTAGTGCTATTCCATTTGATACTGTATATTTTATGACTACTGGTTATTTCTTTGATAATCAAAACATTGGTTGCTATAAAATAAGAATCTAAAATAGCATCAAGTTTAAGCTCCCAGTTTTTTTTCTGTTTACTTATTTATTTAGAGACAGTCTTCTTGTTGCCTCAAACTTACAGTTTTCCTATTTCAGTCTCCCCAGTATGTAGTTGGAATTACCACATGCAGCTTGTTATTTTTTTCATTTTCTTTCCCCATTGCTAGTAAAGAATTTACATTTGAGGGCCGGGGATTTAGCTCAGTGGTTCCGTCGCCTGGCTCACAAGCGCAAGGTCCCAAGTCTGATCCCTAGTACCAAAAAAAAAAAAAAGAAAAGAAATTACACTTCAAAATATCCTAATCCTATACATATTGTGAACTTTTTTGATGGTGTTTTATCAGGACCATTAAAAGTGGATTTTGCCCTCATTTATGTTTGGAAAAAAGATATGCATATCTCATATACATGTGGAGAAAAAAATCTGTATGTGTCCATAACAGTCATTACTGAAAGGAACTGAAGATGTTTTTTGTTCTTCATTTTTGATTTCTTGAGACAAAGTCTCGCTATGTAGTTCATGCTTGTCTTGAACTCACTAGGTAGCCTAGGCTGGCCTCAAACTCACAAGCCTCTTGTTCCAGCCTCTTGAGTGCTGGGCTTACAGGTGTGTGCCACCACACCTAGCTAATGTTCTTTATTATATTTTTGTATCATTTAGTACTGTGTGAAATTTTTCATCATATGCATGTAGTACCTATTTACTAATACTTTTTAAATACACTAAATGAAAAAGGAAAAGAAAACCCTAGGGAAA